AAAATAACATGTACTTTATTATCCATGGTAATATCTTCATTCTTTGCAGTTTGTCACAGACTAAATGATAAAGGTCTGCATGACATGTGACGGCCCTGTGGTTATTGCACAAAGTCGAGTAACTATGTAAAAAAATATCATACAGGGGTGTCAAAAAGTAGACCGTTAGAAATTAACCTGTTGTTCTAAATGGAATTTATAGCCAGTATATTAGCCACAAGCCCACAGTACATTATTAAAGAACAGTACATTATTAAAGTCAAGAGCTCAAATATAGACAATAGTGGTTCAAAATAAATCTATAGTGCGTGCCCACATGATATTCAACTAAGAGTATTAAATATCTGACAACTCAAATAGAAAGTTATAGCAATTAGCAATAGATTTCAGGCAGTCAAATCAGTTTTTAAATAGTTCACCTGCACAGCTTATTTGATCGAAAAATGACAATCGGAATTACTTCACACAAATAAGGCGCTCTGTTTTGGCAGCTCGGCCCAACGATCAACAACAGTATCTGGGTCCATTATATTGTATCCGTGAGATCCTTTTCATATCCAAGAGTGATTAGATCCCTTAGACTTTTTTCTTTCATGACTGAACGAATGGCAGTCTTAATCAATTTAAGCTTCAAACTCGAAAAGCTGCGTGTTCACTCGATGCGGATGTAATCGGTTATCTAAATGTGTATAAATGCTATACACTGCCACATACCTCGGTAACCTCTCTTCGATTTATTAGAACGTAGACTCCTCCAAAATTGCGGATGGACTCATAGACAGGGATAGAATTCCAAGAGTTTAAATAAACGTTTAGTTTTTCAGAACTGCTGCTCTAAACTTTCGGGGGGCCAAAATTTTTTATGGATTTCGAGTGCGAGCGCCAAAGGCGCGAGAAAAATTTTGAATTTCTAGGTTCATTAGAACACTATTTCACGTATTTTAGGACGAGGTTGGAAGAAAAGTTACAACCACAAAAAGTCGCCTAATTTTGTTAGATTCCATTTCCAAAATGTCCACCTATTTCTTTTTTCAACACAAAATGATGTCTTTCAGATTTTAGCGGGACCGACTTTTTTTCGTCCCATACAAGTTTCGGGACCGACTTTTTAGATATATTTCACAAAACATGGGGGGGTGTCACACCCCCCCTAATGTGTGCCCCTGCTTCTTCAGATGCTTTATCAACCACTGTATCTTCAAGGTCTTCGCTTGTCTCGTTACTTGGATCCATCGCCATAAGATCTGTATCTTTGTCACATTTATAGTTATTGTAGCACACTCAAGCCGCACTTGCTCTCTTCTTGAGTTGCTTTTCTTATCATTATTCAGCTGTTATTCCTTAAGTTACAGTAGATAACAACTGTAATTCTTTAGAACTTTACAGATATTCTCTAAAGCCTTTTAGGCAAATGTTTAACATTCAATGTCAGTTCTAGAATACTAATATTAAAACATGGCGGCCAATTTCTTTTATACTGCCAAAGTTGCATGCTGACCAGCAGTGCTTGCTCACTAATTTATACTAATTTATATTAATTATGCAAAACTGCAAATTACTGCAGTTACCAGCTAATATATTCGTTTTTATGTAAGAAGCGTAATAGGAAGCGTCGTAGGATGTCCCGGAGATCAACACTAAAACTACTCCATTATATGCAAATGAACTCCAATTATCCGTGGTCAAAAGTATCTTTGAGCGTGCCAATGGTGTTTATTTGTGGTTTGCTTAATGAAAGTAAAGTGTGCAGTTGGTTCAAGGCAAACCAATCTTTTTGGGACGATTTGTATCCCAGGTGGACGGACAGAATGTGGGTTAAGCACTTACGGATGAAAAGACATACATTCATTTACATCTGCAACTAACTCGATGCACAGTTGAGAAAAAAATGTACTCCATTTCGAGAAGCCATACCAGTTGCGAAAAGAGTCGCTATAGCGCTGTGGAGACTCGTAACAGGTCATGACTACCGTTCAATTGGACAACTGTTCGGTGTCGGGCAGTCTAGGTGTTGCAAAATAACCCACCATGTTTGTAAAGCTATAGTGAATTTTCTTCTGCCATAATTCATAAAGGTTGTATCAAATGAGCGGCTGGTAGAGATTAAGAATGGTTTCAGAATCATGAGTGGCCTTCATCAGTGTGTTGGTGCAATTGATGGGACACATATTCCTATCATTGCTCCAAAAGAACACCAAGTGGACTGTTCCAACAGAAAGCATTTCCACTCTATTGTGTTACAAGCTGTTCTAGATCACAATAGCAGGTATGCCTATCTTAAAAATAAAATTTAGTCACTTATGCATGACAGCATGAGTCAATTCCAGGAATAACCATCCTCCCCCCCCCCCAGAACACACCCGGGAATTTGATTTGATTGGTTACGATAGTGCAAATGCCCAGGTGCAGGGACACTAATGCACAGCCTTTGGGCAAGCTGAGAGTGGAAAATGTCCCACCCTGGGGATGATTTTAAGCGTTATTTAAACTTTTAATGGCATATCGTGGGCATAGTCATTTAATAACATTATAATTAATTAAACTGCTATGGAATATTATAAAACTTTAATCTTGCTAAGAGTGGTTAAAAGGATTTAAACAACGAAATCATAAGCCTTTAATTAATAGCTGTATTTATATTTGCATGGCACAGCTACTAATTTTTGCAAAAGTTATCCCTGTGAACTATCTATCACACAAATTGCCGAGGGTAGGGATGGTTACTCCAGGAATTGACTCATGCATTATGATAAAATTTTTGTTACTTATTATATCGCTACACAGGGTGGTTGTAATTTTTTGTTTGCTTATTTAAGAAGAAAAACCTGAAATCTAAAACTACCTGTCACCATTTTTTTAAATAAATACATGTTCATGTATTTTTATGGACAGTAAATACTACATGTTACTTGTGAGGGGTTAGTTTTAATTTTGAAATACATTTACATCTTCTGTTTATGTAGGTTTCAAGATATTTGTGTCGGATGGCCTGGGCGTGTTCACGATGCCCATGTTTTGGCCAATTCATCTTTGTACGGAAAGGGCCAAAATGGTACACTTTTCCCCAGGGTAAGGTAAAGCTTACTGTTTCAGTACATTATTAGTATTATCATAGCAGGCATGTCATGTTTGTGATTATTATCATTACTTATTCAGGATACAGAAACAATAGGTGGAGTTGATGTCCCTATGTATATCGCTGGTGATCCAGCATACCCTCTGCTGCCTTGGCTGATGAAAGTGTACCGGAAAGATTAATTATTTACAGCAAGCCAGCGAAATTTCAATACTTGTTTGTGCAAGTCAAGGTTTGTGATTGAACACAGTTTTGGGCGACTCAAGGGAAAATGGCACTGTTTGTTAAAAAGAAATGATACATCAGTTAAGTATATAGTAAATCAGATTGCAGCATGTTGTGTTTTACACAATCTGTGTGAAATGCAGCAAGAAGATTTTCTGGAATGTTGGGGATTGACCCTGTTCATAATGACCAGGTTGTTGAAGCAAATGAAGTGATACCAGTACCAGAAGAAGCTGCATTTGCTATTCTGAATGTCCTGAAGAATATGCTACATCACCAAAGAGTTGTTTAGTGACTGGTAGATTTATGGTGAACCGAACAAGTATATTTAATATTTGAACATTCTTCACCAAATGTTATTTGCATGCGTTTCTTGACCATTGTGCCTCAAGTTCAGTTTTAAAATTTTTAAGAAACCAACTTCTCTGTTTCTCAAACTATTATAATGATGATATGGGGTTTTATGTGGTTAAATATGGATAAAGAAATACTAACCTAGTACACATAGGGTTAAATTAAGACCAAAATGAATAGTTATTTATTTATTTGTAAATTTCAGAAATTATATTAATTATTTATTTGTACATTTCAGAAATATTTAATTTAACAGTCCTATCAACACATCCACATAAAATTGTTTACTGTTCTCATGAGTGGCCCTGCAGTATATTTGAGTAAATAAATAGCATAACAAACATTGTTATGATAGTGAGTCTTATGTAAACAAAAGTGGCACGTGTACGATTAAAATGACTGTTATTCACCTGTGATAATATTCAATTCATAATATATAACAATTTATAATAATTTGAGATAACTCAACAATTGTTAACATATAATAACAAATTAATAATTTGAGATAACTGAACAATTGTTATTTATACAATAAATAAATTCCAGAAATAAATAATTGAATTGTTTAATTAAGAAATTATTTAATTTATTCAATCACTTGTGGCCATACAACGAGTACTCAAAGCCTAGTGAGCGATTAGAATTGGTGAGATTAGTATACACTGGTGAATTGTTACTCGGCTGTGGTGGTTGTGTACTTTGGTTAATCAGGTTTCCAAACATATGCATCATTCTCATCTCGTGTTGTTGCTCTCTCTCTCTTTCTTCTTTCTCAAACTGAAGCCTTTTAGTTTCCAAAGTCAACAACTGCTTTTGAAATGAAATACTTGTATCAGTGGTTTTCTTAGTTTCTTCTCCAAGAAATCCTGTGAAGCCTTGCATGGCTACCTCAAATTTGGTGGGTTTACGTTTTTCTCTTCTTTGGACGATCAGCTATGGAACACAAAGCAATGAATAATACTGAAACCCATGTACCTATATTAATTCACACCTCAATGTTGTGTATATATATCATCTCACTTGCCACATTTAACGAATAAGGGATTATTCAGTATTCATGTATTCATGGGAGGGACAGGTGAGAAACCAAGATCACTTTGCCTGCAACTATCTCGCCCTGCCACCATGTCTATAAATAATGAACAATCCCTAAAGGCTCATCTACATGATACAAATTTGTACTCTCATTGCAAAATCTGCAAAGACAAACTTCTGACTACTGAATCCATTGTCTAGCTATTAAAATGATCTAGTACACGTTTATTATTATATTTACCTAAATGCGAAAAGCGGGGCTCGTTAACTTTTTTGCATGCCTGCAACTATTATTTGAAGCGGGTTGCTGGCCCGGTTGGCAAGATCTCGCTGGAAAGAGGTGAGATCTCGCTTACCGGGATGGAAATTTCATCATATAAACACTCATGAGTGGGCTAGCCCAGTTGCCAGGATAAAATTTCAAAGATGTGCCGAAAGCTATTTTTAACAAATGTCAAAACAATTGTATCAAAACAACAAAATTGTCTCGGCAAGCGGGATGAAATTTTCTCATATAAACACAAGAGAAATTCATCCCACTTACCTGCAAGAAAGATGTGCCTGCAATGTGCCTGTGACCATCTGTCTGAGCAGTCCCCACTTTGATGACCCCTGGCGATAATACCCATTATAAGTAAAAATACTGTAGATTAAAATATATAGTCAGGCAAAATCATTTGCTTTCAATCATTTGCATATAACATACTTATTCAGCTTACTTTTCTTTTTGCATGTAGATTTTCATTTTGCACTAGCAGTATTTTGACAAGATTGGTCAATAGTTTCTATGTATCTATATACAGCTAATTCAAAAAAGGTTGTCCTTTTCAAACCTTAAACTCTAAACCTTAAACCTTAAACTCTAAGTGCGCAAAGCATAATGGGAGTACTGATTTCAAGCTTTGTAGTTGAATATTGCAGCTGTTTGTGAGTGAAATGTTTTCGCAGGCACATATTTACCATGTCTCTAAGAAATGGGCTCCATGTATGCTTTCTAAACTGCTTAAATAGTGCTCCCAT